ATTTCCCATGGGACTTTCCAGGTTGGCACACAGCAAGCAAGCAGAAGGGAAGTGGGTCAAAATGACCCTAGTTCAGTACAAGTTAGAGAATGGTTACTAATGTCTAGACAATCTTGTCCAAGAAAAATGAAAACCAAAGAGAACAATTTTACATTGTATAAGAATTGCTATTTTGTGTTGCCAAGTATGCTATGTAGGTAACTATTATTGGGTACAGAGGTGGGGCTTTCCCATGGGAGAAGCAATTCTTACATGACATGGAGTCTCAGGGTAAAATGGAGTCTGTTTGGTCATTGCCTATATAGCCTGGCCCATAATATTCCCCACTGGTTTTATGGAACTAATCAAATCATTGATTAATCATCATTGGTATACAGTTGATTATGAAAATGTAGGGACCAATTAAAAACCCTAAGAGGACTAACAGCACTGGACTGGCTACAGCTGATATAAGACTAGTTAGCACAGGGAACCAGGAGAACAAACTTTGATACCAATTTCCCTCATATTGTCTTGTATATCTCTCTCACCACTCTTGAGTGATTAGTATAAAAGCAACATGTTTCCCCTAATGCCATACATAGGCCTCCTTGTTTTAAGAGCAAGAGATCTAAACTTCTTCTGCTTTGTAATACTGCTTCTGCTAGGGAGTCAAGAGAGGTCTCAAGTCTGCTCACTGATTGTTCTAGTTCCCCCACATTCAAATCTACCTGTTTGCTCAGGAATTTGAAATTTTCATTTCCAGTTTAAAGGGCTGCTGTAGACAGGGGCTGAAGATCCTGCAACCTAGGGGTTCTAGGATGGGGCTATTCTCCTAGGATGGTGTATGAGCCCCAGATGTTCTCATTTAGCGTCTCCACTGTAGTAATACACTTGGGGAATAATGTAAACATTTACACAAAATTTGTTCCATCCTGGTATGCTAAAAAGCTATAAGGACAAGCAAAGAGTTATTTCTGATAGGCAGGCAAACCAAATACCTTCTGGAGCCTTGTGGAAATTAGAAGACTCCTGGGGTGTATTTGACACCTAGGTGGAAAGACATTTGGAAGCCTCATTCTTGTAAGTCTCCTAGTGTTTGAGTCCACCTTTTGTAGTCTAAAACCACATTAATCATAAGTGGCCATTGTTATGATTTGAAACCATAAACAAATATCATGAGATCTAAAATCATAGCCTGAGCAAGAGAAAAACATGATTAACATTTTCTGGACTCAAACTGGCCTTCATTTTGTGATTTAACCCAATTATTTATCTATACTGACTGAAAATTTCCCCTCTATATTAGGGATCTCCTACTGCTGTAAGGAAAAAGGACAATGACTGCTCTTGCTGCTTCGAGCTGAGAGGGGGTGACATACAGTGAAGCAAGCAGTTTGGAGTCTCCTTTTAGAAATTGGATCAGTCGAGGGGTCCATGCTAAAACTCTGGTTCAGGAAAAACAGGTTGTAAATTTGCCTGGGGTGGGTGCTTCTACGAGAGAAACAAAAAGACATGAGTACTGAAATAAGATTAATACAAAATAGCAGTTGTAGCATCTGGAACCTGACAATGAATATCATGAAGATGATAGAAGTCAATAATTGTTTACCAGGAGGTGGAAGAGCTGAGAAATTGTCCCCATAACAAGGCTTAACAAAGTTTAATAAGGTCCCCTTTTGGGGAACGTAAATCTTTAACATTGTCAGAGTTGTCAGAAATGCAGACACAATATTTAGTTAAGTTACTTAATGTCATCTGATTTTTGTAAAATATCTTTTTTATTGGCATGATCTCTGTGTTCAGTAGAGATCCCTTTATCTTTGTTACTTAGGGCTAGATAATTATACTAGCAAACATTGATTACGTCTACCTGTGTAGGAGGTTAGGAAGATGTATAGGCCTTAAACTGACTAAAAACTTCTGGCTCTGGCAGTTCCTATTGATAGTTATCAGGCATTCTTGCCTAAGAATCTCTCTTCTGTTGCCTCCAGTCTTACTTATTCTTGCAGGGGCTAACACAAGTGTACATCTTAAGTTACATTAAAATAAGTATTGTTTCTCTTTACATGCCCAGGAATGGCTGTGCTTTGGTTTTAACTGTTTTTGCTAGGTGTTTAAGATCAAGCTGGTCAAACTGTCCTTGCTCCTATCTCTTATTAAGAGTCAGCTGAGTTGCCTTGGGGGACACTCTTGGGGAACTTGTGAGCAGAATTTTAGCTCTGCTAGTGCCATCTGCATTAGGATGGATCATGGTCTTGTTAACCACGTGGCTTCCCTTGGAAGCCCCAGGGATGTTTCCCCCTTTCAATGATCCTCCTCTTTTGCAGCATGCACACTGATTGGCTTTCCATTCTCCAGTGTTCTTATTTTAAAAAAATATTTAGTTTTTAGTTGTAGTTGGACACAATATCTTTATTTATTTTTATGTGGTGCTGAGGATCGAATCCAGGGCCTCGCAGGTGCTAGGCGATCGCTCTACCACTGAGCCACAATCCCAGCCCCAGTGTTATTCATCTCCCTGATCATGAAGTCATGTGGCCTAGAGTTGCAAAGCTCTTCCCCTTTTCCTAGGTTCATGCTGACTCAAAGGGCAAGAACCAAATATTGGTTTTCTTGGCTCCTTTATTTTAAAACCTTGATCTTTAAGCCTTGGCCTTAAATATCCAGCAAGACAGGCTTATGAGTCTTAAAATAAGAGTACTGGGCTTTAACTTTAATGTTTATAACTTTACAGTTATTTTTTTTAAGTTGTACATAACACAATACGATTTATTTACTTATTTGTTTGTTTGTTTGTTTGTTCATGTGGTGCTCTGGATTAAACCCAGTGCCTCACTCATATAAGGCAAGGGCTGAGCCGCAACCCTAGCCCCTTTACAGTTAATTTAATCCCTTTTAATTACTATCTGTCTACAGATGATGGCTTAATATCTCAAATTAATTTAGGTTGTGTGTTCCTGAAGTATTACCTCTACAAAACATTAAAAGACATCAGTTATAAGGAAAATACAAAGTGAAATTTTAAACAAGAGTAAAAGCTTATTTGTGTAATAGCTATCTTGAATTTGGTGAGTTATACATTATAGTCCCTGTTTGAGATCACAGTAATCTTTACCATAAAATCAATCTTTGAATACAACTTTAAATGAGCTGAACTCTGGCCTGCTTTGGAGTCACTTTGACATGTTGTCAGGTGGGAGGCAGAGCTTTATCTCAGGTAAGGTGGGACTCTTCACAAATCTTAGGTAATGTGTTCTGGTTCTGAAGTTGATCTTTGTCTCTCTTTTTAGATATCATTTTATAAGGTTTACATATATTGTTTTCTGAGTCTGTGTGAATGTTAGCTAACACAATATGACATTACATCTAAAACATGAATCAAGGAAAGGCTGAGAGTTTTTAACTTTCCTTTTGTGTGGAAAAATGGCAAAATGTTTTACATTATTAACCTTTAAACAGATCAGGCTCTCATTATCTTTTAAAATACCTTTAAATTTTTGTATTCCAGTGTAAAAGGTAACATAAGGTTTGGTTATAAAAGATCAAATGATATAAATAAATCCCCAATAAAATCTGTTATCCTTATAAGTTTAAGATTACCATTACAGACAACTTTAGTTTGGAGAACACCAGCTTGATAAAATGCTTCTTTAAATCTGATGTTTTTAATACTAATCAAGTTTAGCCTTTAAAGAAAAATGTAGTCTCTGTAATGTAGTACAATACTTTAAAATAACTGTTGCTTTTTAACCACAGATGTACAAACCTTAATTTCTCCCAGACTAGTTGCTCTAGAGAATAAAACTTAACAGACACAATATAATTAATATATTAAGAAGTTTTTGTTATTTTAACATATAGATCAAGTTTTGGTTTATATCAGTGCATTAATATTTGTTCTTACAGAACGACCTTGAACAGCTTTTTTTAATATTTATTTTTTAGTTTTAGGTGGACACAATATTTTATTTTATTTTTATGTGGTGCTGAGGATCGAACCCAGTGCCTCATGCATGCCAGACTAGCGTGCTACTAATTGAGCCATATCTCCAGCCCCGAGCAGCTTTAACTGTTTATGTTACCTATATAAAACCAATTTAGTTATACATAAACCTTTTAATATTTATCCTTTATTTATAGATCTTTATATTATTTAATTAGATCCTCTTATTGTTTACTTAGATATATTACAATTGCAAGCAGAAGGGAAGTGGGTCAAAATAACCCTAGTTGAGTACAAGTTAGAGAATGGTTATTAATGTCTGGAAAATCAATCTCTGACAAGGTACATCGCCCAAGAAAAATGGAAACCAAAGAGAACAGTTTTACATTGTATAAGAATTACTATTTTATGTTGCCAAGTATGTTTTGCTAAGTAACTATTATTGGGTACAGAGGCAGGGCTTTCTCATGGGAGGAGAATATCTTACATGATCTGGAGTCTCAGGGTAAAATGGAATCTGGTCATTGCCATATAGCCTGGCCCATAACACAAGGAGAAGGGGAAGGTCACTGAGAATACCAGGCTCCGGGGAGGAAGCAGGATTTGTGAAGAGTGAGGAAATCAGAGATCTGAGGGTTGGGTCCAGGCTGGCTCATAACTCAGGGAGTGGGTGGATATGGGGAGACAGTTGGCAGTGGACGGAATAAGAAGGCTAAGGGAAGGAGACAGTTGAACTAACTTCACCTTTGCAACACGAGATACTTCTTTTGAATAAAGATGGGGGTGACTTGGATGCCAGGCTTATGAGAGACAGACAGCATGATGCAGGTAGGGAGAAGCCCTGGGTCCTACCTGGCAGAGTGGACTGAGCTTTGGTGAATGGAAGTCTCCTTCCAGTGAGAAAATGAGAAAAATAGAAACCTCCAACAGATTCCTCTTTCTCTCCCCACAGGTGTTCTATTTCAAGATGTCCTGGACTGACAACATCATCTATCGGGCTCCAGGATCCCAGCCTGTCTCTAAATATGTCTCTAATTCTGTGAAATCACCCTCCCTCTTGGACTTTCTCCCCCAGGAGCTCTCCAACCTGACCTACCTTCTATACTGACCTCTGACCCCAGGAGATGGGGGGACTCTGACCCCAGGAGATGGGGGGACTTTTTGTCCTCCACCTACCACCTGAGGGGTCCTGCTTAGGACACCTATGCCCTAGGAGGCTACCTGGAGGTTGTCCTTGTGGCCAGGAACCACTGGGGCAGGCCCAAGACCCATGGTGGGGATCTGTTTAAGGCACGATTACTGGGTCCAGAATTGAGAGCAGGGGTCACCGGGGATGTCTAGGATCTGGAGAATGGCACATACCTATTGTCCTTCCCTCTGCTCTGGACTGGGAGGGCCCAGGTGCAAGGACGGCTGATCCACTCCAGTGAGACCACTTGGATTCTGCGCAGAATCTGGGAAGAGAAGAGGGCCACGGTTGATTTTAGGGGGTATTTCCAGGGCAGTTCTGGTGCTAAAGAGACTGTGATTTGCAATGTTGACCCTCACTCAACTGGAGCCAAAGGGCATACCTGCCAGTACAGGGATGTGATTTCTGGTGAGCTCTGGTCCTGTGCTCAACCCCCTACTCTGCCCTGCAACTCTTTGGTTGCTCACTCAAGCGGGAGTTACCTGAAGGTGACCATACCACGTGATGATGCCCTGCTGGCAGGGTAAGAAACCCAGAATCTGGGATATGGGTTCTAACCCTAAGCCTCATCTTTCCTTCCAAAGCTCATTCCTATGATCCAGTGGCCCTCCACCACTTCCACCACTTGCACCATTCAGCAATTATTTCTACTCAATTCCAACATGAGCTTGTTGGGCAACTACCAAGTGACAGACATTGCTAGACAGACATATAGTACATGGTCAGGCTGTATCTTCAGAGGATTTTGATTGATCTTAGATTTGAAGTTCAGTGAGGACTTCTCTAGGAAAGATAAGAGGCAAAGTATTCAAGACAAAGCAAACATCTCAGGGCAAAAGTAGTTGAAGTGCTTCATTTATTTATCTGGGCTCCTGCTTTCACTTTGATTTTTAACCTGACAGTTCTTTACTGCTTTGTTAGATATTCAGATAGTTAGTAGCTTTTTAAATTACTTTCAGCAAAATGTGTTGTGAATACCTAGGTCTGCCATTCTATTTCATGAGTTTGGGTGGCATCTTTAACATTGGATTCTTCACCTTTTTATAGTTTCTTTCCTTTTTTTGTAGTTTCATGATTCAGAACACTTAACACCATCTATTTCACTCTTCCTTTTATGGAGTAAAAATGATCAGGGATATGAATTTCCCTCTGAGTACGGCTTTAACTGTATTCTCCAAATTTTTACACATGGAGTCTTCATTTTTATTTTGTTTTACATATTTTATAATTTCTACAGTTGCCACCTCTTAAATTCATGAATTATTTACAAATTACTTTTAAAGTTTTTGTGTAATTTGTAAATGATTCACTTTTAAAGTTTTTGCATAGCCCACGCCTGTAATCCCAGTGACTCTAGCTTTTTCTTTGGATGCCACACTTCACTGAAAGTAATTTACATTCTGTATTTTTCCAGAAAGAAATTCTGAATCTATTTAATTTAACTTGTTAAGTTTTAAATTCTCAACTTTTCTATCTTTACTAATGTTTTGTGTCTGCTTAATTGTTTCAGACATAAATCTATTATATTGTTTTTATATTTATAAGTTATGATTTTCTCTCCCTACCTCTTTTTTGTGGTGCTAGGGATTGAACCCAGGTCCTCGTGCATGCTAGGCAAGTGCTCTACTACTGAGCTACAATCCAGCCCAACGATATCTCTTTGTAACCCAGGAGTTTTCACTTCACACGTTTCCAGGTGATGCTGTTCTGGACATTCATCTCTGGGTTTGTTTTATTGTATTGGCAAATTATTCATTTTACTTTCATGCTCTTTCCCTTAAATCCTAATTTTTGTGATATGAATACTTCTATGACAGCTTTAATTTCTTTGATATTTTTATGGTATACCTATCTTCATCTCTATGTTTCAAACTTTCAGAGTGAAATGGTTTTAGTCATGTCTCTCAATGTGATTTTCAACATTTGCTTAGGCATAAATAGATCATGGAAGAGTGTAGATCCATGAACAAAACTAACTTTATCAGAACACAATAGGCTTTCAATTCAACAGAGAAATATTAACTTGTCAACAATTAGAAAACAATATGATTATATGTGAACCTCACACTATACAGAAATATAAATGGACAAAAAATGACCTAATTGTGAAAAGCAGAAAACACTTGATTCGATTTGGGATTAGGAAAATACTATCATAGTGTCACAAAGAAAAATATATGTAAATTGGGCTACATATAAATCAAAACTTCTCCCTTACAAAAAGTATCATAATTTAAGTCAAGCTAAAATCTGGAAGGTGATATCTATAACACATTGAACTGACATAATAATATTAGTACTAGGAGTAAGTAAAGGAATATTACAAAACAATAAGAAATAGTATATAGCCCAATACAGCAATGAGGAAAATATGTAAGATATCAAAGAAGAAAAATCTAAATAGTGAATAAAAAATATATACTCACTCTCATGAACAATAAGGGAAATTTAAGATGAAACCAAGATATAATATGTTTTGGGGGGGTACAGTTTAATTTTTAAATTTTGAGTCAGGGTCTCACTAAGTTGCTCAGGGTCTTACTAAATTGCTGAGGCTGGCTTTGAACTAGCAATCTTCCTGCCCCAGTCTCCCAAATTGCTGGGATTATAGGCATGCACCACCACATAATGAACATAATGTCATTAATGAACATAATGAACATAATGTCTCTAATTTTTGTGTGGACAGATCCTTTTAATCTGAAAAAACAAAGAGTGATGAGGATGGGTAGTGGTAGAAAATCTCATATCCACTGGTAGGGGTGTTAATACCATTACTTACACCACTACTAAATCTTGAAAACATAATGAATAATGATAGATATATTATATCTAAAGTTTTAAAACTTGCAAACAATTCCAATTAGTATTTTGGATTCATAAACATGTATCAACTGTATCAAATATGGATGAGAATATAAATACTGAATTCATGAAAGTGACTTGATCTTTTTGAGGAACAGTATGAAAGAGGGAAGGAGCATGGTGGTGTGCCTGAGGAACCTGTAATGATCCATCTATTAATTTTCAACTACTCATTGTGAATAACTATAGACCCATGAGAAGTTGCAAAAAGAATAAATTGAATCATCTGACCCTCTGGCCCAATTTCCCCCAAGGACAACATTTAATATATGAAGTACAAAATCAAAACAGAAAATCAGCATTGGTACAATTCTGTTAACCAGACCAAAAAATCAGTTTCCGTTGGCTGGTGCCTATAGTTTGTGTATGTGTGTGTGTGTGTGTGTGTGTGTTTCTCCACAAATTCACCATACGTATAGAATGCTGTAACCACCATTATAATCTAGATACAGAAATGTTCTGCCACCAAAAGGAAACCCCTCTGCTCTCCCTTCTAGGCTCTCCCACTCCCCAGTGTCTGTTCTTATCACCTGGTAACTCTTTTCTGTTCTCTATCTCTACAGTTTTATCATTTCTAGATGGTTCTATAAATGGAATCAGACAGTAATGCAGTCATTTGAGATTTTTTTTTCACAAAGCACAATGTTCTCTAGATCCATCCATGCTGTTGCATCTATTGATAACTCACTCCTTTTTCTTGCCACTGATATTCCCGTGTGTACATTTGTTTAGCCTTCAATGGACATTGAAGGACATTTGGGGTGTTTCCAGATTTTAACTATCATGAATATGGATATTCATATACAGGTTCTTTTGTAAAATTAAAAAAAGATTTTTTTTCATATCTGTGGAACAAAATGCCTGAGTGCAGTTTCTTGGTTGTGCAATTGGTAGATGTTTAGTTTTACAAGAAACTGCCAAACTATTTGCCAGAGTAGCTATACCATTTTATATTCCGCCCCCTGCACCGTGTACAAGAGACCCAATCTCTCTGTTCCTCTCCTGCATTTAGCATTACTATTTTAACATTTTAGCTATTGATCCATTTCTTTTTAAAGAGAAATTGGATTCATGTCTGGCAAAATATTAATATCTAATAGATCTGGATGCTAAATTCACAATAAAAATATTAATGATGCATAGAAGAGGGGAAATGAGCCTGGCAGAGTTATAGCTATAGAAGGAGGTAATAATGGACTGCATGTGGTGGTGCACACCTGTAATATCATTATCTTGGGAGGTTGAGGCAGGAGGATCCGAAGTTCAAAGCCATCCTCAGCTAGGGAAGCACTGAATAACTCAGCAAGACTCTGTCTCAAAACGAAAAAAATAAAAAATAAAAAGGGCTGGGGATGTGGCTCAGTGGTTAAGCACCCCTGGGTTCAATTCTTGGTACCCAAAAGAAAACAACAACAACAAAAAATAATGGAAGACTGGAAAGGTTTTAACTTTTTGTTTAAACAATTAAAAAAAATCAAATTTAGTGAAGTTCCATTTACATGCAATGAAATAACCATGTTTCTAATGTGCAAGTCAATGTGTTTTTTGATTGCCAAGACAGTCAAGCTAGAGAATATTTTCCCCTAAAGTTCTCTTGCACCCCTTCACTGTCAATTTCTTTCCTCTACTAACCTCCAGTCCCAGGCAACCAAACAGCCTTCTGACAGTAAATATAGGTTTTGTCTTTTGTAGCATTGCATAAAAACAGAATCACACAGTATACAGTCTCTTGTATCTGCCTTTGGGTCAGTGAAATGTTTCTGAGACTCATCTCTGCTGTTGTATATCAGTAGCTTTTCCTTTCTATTGCTGAAAAGCTTGTGTCTTATGGAGGTAGCACCATTTGTTCGCCCATTCACCTGTCAATCAACATCTGAGTCAATTCCAGTTTGGGCCATTATAAAAAGACTGCTGTGAACATTGAGGTATGAGAGTTTTGTAGACAAATATTTTCATACTAGGTAAACAACTATGGATCCAGCTTTTAAATTCATAAACATTATTTTTCTGGAACAGTTTTAGATTCACAGAGAAACTGAGAAGATAACATGGAGTTCTGGTATTTCATTTCCTGCATAGTATCTCTTCTGATTCACATCTTACACGAATGTAGTACATCTGTTTCAATTCATGAACCTGTGGTGAGGCATTATTAACATTACAGTCCATTGTTTATTTAGATTTGCCTAGATTTTTAACTAATGTCTTTTATTTCTTATCAGCGATCCCATTTAAGTTCCCACATTACATTCAGGCTTATCTTGGTTGTAACAGTCTTTCTGACTTTGTCTTTGATGGCCTTGAGTTTTGGAGAAGTACTGATCAATTATCTTATGGGATTCCCCTCTATGGAAATATATCTGATGTCTCTTGCTTATGATCAGACTGGGATTGTGTATTTTAGGAAGGAAAATTGTGGAAGTAAATTATATTTCCATCAGGTGACATCACAGGTACACAGTATGAATGTGGTTTGTGCCCATTGGTGTTAACCTTGTTTGCTTGGCCAAGGGGATTTTTGTTAGGTTTCTGGGCTATAAAGCTACCCACCCCACCCCACCTCCTTCTTTTTTACTGTAACTTTGGAAATCAGTAGGCATAACCCAATTCAAAGAGGTATGTCTCCAGTGTCTGAGTGTTCATGTAACAACAACAAAAAATTCCTCTGCTCCCTATCCTTCCAGAACTTAGTGCCAGGAAGTGATTTTCCTCTCTGGCATTCTGTGTATTTCCATTTATAGGAATAGAGAACTCTGTGATCTGACTTGGTTGTCTTTCCTCACCTCGACTATTAGTAAGCCGAGAGTCCAATGAGTAGATGAAATGCAGAAAGTCCCTCCCCTGGACTCCCGAAAAGATTTTTCTCTTCCTTCCATCATTTTTTCTCTTTATTGTAATTGCCCCAAGTAATAAATGTGCTAATTATATTGGAATGTTCTAATTCCTCTTTGGAATTAGAGTGGAAACGACAAGTCAATCATCAAATCCCTTTAGCAACTCCAGATTTCACCAGGTGGCCCTTCCACAAAGCTCTCTCTCCCTGTTTCTCCAGCAAGGTGACTGACAAGCTGCTGCCTCAGGGTGTTGCTCCAATTCTGATCAGACCAGCAACCACAGAAAACATCAGTCGGGGTGAGTGGGGCTGAGTCATGCTGGGAGTGGAGGGTGATGATGGACCTATATGGGTTTTGTTCCTTGACCGAGAGGCTAGCCTCTCCCTTCCAGGGTGGTAGAGTACAGGGGTGAGCAGCACGGATTGTGACACCAGGCTTCTTGGATTCACATGCTATCCCTGCCAGTCACTGTTTTTCTGATTTCAAACCACTTCATTGAGGTGTGGATTGACATACTAAATGCTGTGTACAACTCAATGCGTTTAGCCATAAACACACCCCATGAAACCATCACCACAATCTGTGCCATGAACATACTCAACTTCTAGCAGTTATACTTTAAGATTGTGATGGGACTGATGAAGAGAAGATTGAGAGTAAATTAGACTTTAAAATCTTACTTTGTGACCGAGGACTTCAATTTTTGTTCTGCAGTTTTAGGAATATACAGAACACTGAGGATGTGTTTTCCATCTATTGTTCTATATAGATTACTATAATGGGGCAGGGAACTTCTCCTGAAAGAATGTTATTTTTTATTTAATTTATTTTTTAAAAGTAGTTGAACACAATACCTTTATTTTATTTATTTTTTGTGGTGCTAAGGATTGAACCCAGGGCTTCACATGTGCTGGGTGAGTGTTCTACCACTGAGCCACAACCCCAGCCCCAAGAGTGTTATGTTTTGTAGAAGAAAATGAGTGCCGGGGCTGGGGATGTGGCTCAAGTGGTAGCGCGCGCCTCGCATGCGTCCGACCCGGGTTCGATCCTCAGCACCACATACAAACAAAGATGTCGTGTCCGCCGAAAACTAAAAAATAAATATTAAAAAAAATTCTCTCTCTTTAAAAAAAAAAAGAAAAGAAAATGAGTGCCATTTCATGCCCTGTATGTCTAGAGATGTTCTATAAGTAAAGGAAAATATATACTTCAATACCCTACTGTAATTATGATATATTTTCTAAATTTTATTTATTTATTTATTTAGTACTGGGGATTGAACTCAGGGGCACTTAACCACTGAGCCACTTCCCCAGCCCTATTCTATATTTTATTTAGAGACAGGGTCTCACTGAGTTACATAGCGCCTTGCTGTTGCTGAGTCTGGCTTTGAACTTGTGGTCTTCCTCTCTCGGGATCTTCCTCCTGAGCCCCTGGGATTACAGGCGTGTGCCACCAAGCCAGGCATATTTTAATTAAATATTCTATACATGTTTTAAAAATATTTTCATCACGTCCAAAAATTTCCTCCTGCCACTTGTGTTTATTATTACTGTTATGGTGTATGTAACACATGGCATAAGATTTTTCCCTCCCAGCAAATTTTCACTCTGCAATACAGTATTGTTCACTACAGACTCGGGGCTGTAGAGTAGATCTCTTGGACTTATTCATCCTGTAAATTGAAACTTTGTCTCTTTTCCCCATCATCTTCCTGCTTTCTCTTCACCTACGCCCACGACAACCATCACTCTGCAGTCTGCCTCTTGAGTCTCACTAGTTAGATCCCTTGTGTCATTAAAGCCAGTGGTCTTTGACCTTCTTTGGCGCATTTCACTTAGTATGATATCTCTGGAGATCAACTACTTTTTCACAAATGGCAGGGTTTCCTTCCTTTTCTTTTTGCTTTCTCATTTACCTAGCTATATCAAAGAATAATTGACAAATGAAATGCATGTTTTTAAAGCATACAATGTGATGATGTGGTATAGGTACACGTTATGAAACAACCACTCACATTTGAGTTAGTTGGCCCATCCATTGTCTCACATAGTTTACTTGGTTGTTTTATTTTTAGTATTTTTTAGTGTGATAAGGATAAATAACACTTAATCTCTTAGCAAATTTCAAGTATATAATACGGTTAATTATGGATTATTGCCACCATGCTATACATTAGACCCCCCAGAACCTATTAATCTTATAAATGCAAGTTTGTATATTTTGGCCAAAATCTTCCATTTTCCCCTCTCCCCAAGTCCCTGGCAACCTTCATTCTACTCTATTTTTAAAACTTATTTTTAGGTTCCACATAGGTGACATCAAATGGTATTTGTCTTTCTCTGGCTTCTTTCTTTTTTGTGTGTGTCTGGGAGATACGGGGAATTCAGCCAAGGGGCATTTTCACTGAGCTATTATTTTTTTTCCAGTTTCAAAAAAGGGTCTTGCTAAATTACTCAGGGCCTTGCTAAATTTCAGAGGCTGGCCTCAAACTTGCAAGCCACCTATCTCATCCTCCCAAGTTGCTGGGTTTACAGGTGTACACCACCAGGCCCAACTGTCTGGCTTATCTCCCTTAGTATAATGCCTTTCAAGTTCATCCATGTTGTCCTAAACATCAGGATGTCCTTTCTTAAGAATGGATACTATTACTCTGTGTGTATGTTCTGTTTTCTTTACCCATTGATCCATTACTAGACACTCAGTTATTCCGTGTCTCGGATATTGTGAATAATGCTCAAATGAATGTGAAAGTATGAATAATCTTTTTGAGATCCTGATTTCACTTCCTTTTAGTATATACCCAGGAGTGGTATTGTTGCATCACATAGGAGTTCTGTTCATTATTTTTTGAACTGCCAATCATTATTCTTGATCAAAGACAAATTGCTTAACATTTCATGTCCCAGTGTCCCTACTCTCACCAAATATAAGAATGGTATGTCATAGGTTTTGTCAAAGAGTAATGAAAAAATACATGTAAAGCACACAGAAGAGTACCTGACATCTTCTAGATGTTAATGTTGGTTCTTTTTGTTTTTTATTCTGTTCTGCTTTTCTCCTTCCTATAGTGCTATCCCCACAGACCAAGTGCCGCCCTGGCCTTCTGGCCCCAAAGCCCTCTGGCTTCTACCACCAAGATGTATGGCATTCCCTGTCCTGCTCTGGCCAGTCCTTCCCCACTGTTGACAGCATCCTGGGCTGCCTGGCTGGCCACATCGTGCACATGATGGGGGACTCCACGCTTCGGCAATGGTGGGAATATCTACGTGACACAGTGCCCTGTGAGTGACACATGGGGACTCATGAAGAAACAGGTGACCAGAGAGGGATTTGAAGGAAACTGTGGTGCTTGGTGGAGAGGTGGGCAGGATGCTGGGTGCTCCTGAAAGGCGAGTGAATGAGGAGGGCAGAGTTATCACTGGGCTGTCTTCCTGGTTTAGTTACCATGGAGCTCAAATGAGAGCACCAACCTTTCAAATAACAGCATGTGGTGATTCCAAGAGTCCTCATTTAATTTCTAAGTAAAATCCCCAGTGAGTCTCTCAAAGATTATTGAAGTGAGAAAAACACAAAGTTCACAAATTTGCTGGGAGGGGTACTGGGGTTTGAACTCAGGGGCACTCAACTACTGAGCCACATTGCCAGTCCTATTTTGTATTTTATTTAGAGACAGGGTCTCACTGAATTCCTTAACACCTGGCTTTTGCTGAGGCTGGCTTTGAACTTGAGAACCTCTTTCCTTAGCCTCACAAACCATTGGGAATTATAGGCATGGGCCACCCAGCCTGGCCACAAAGTTCAAAATTTTATGTCACTCACCACCCTATACCTCAATTTTTTTTTTCTTACTGTTCTTAGATTTGTTGCTGGTCTTGAGCAGTCACTTGTCATTTGGTAGAGATAGTGGTTCCCTTAGCACTTAAGGAGGCAGTCACTTCTGCTGAATGTGTGTAGCTTTCTTGTCCCCTCCAAAATTAGACCAACCCAATCCCAAACCTTCCATTTTTCTAAATAGTCAAGATTAATGGAAAACAATATCACAGAACTTGTGAGTTCATTCCTCCAATTTTCAAAAACAAAAGAAAATACTCAACATCTTTAGCAGTGATTTTGAGTGAAATTCTGTTCTGTTCCAAGCAACCAGTATCTACTTCAGATCTATTATAAATCTCAGGGCCTGAGATTCTAACTGAGTGGCAGAGCACTTTTCTAGTATGTGCAGGGCCCAAGGTTGTATTCCTAGCATAGCTCTCTCTCTCTCCCTCTTTCTATCATACACACACACCCAAGGTTTGATTTACAGTCCTTCAGATGTCTGAGAAATAGGAAGATATAATAGAAAAGCTAGCCAGAATGCCTGTTGTACTGGGACCACTGTTCAGTAGCCGTAATCCTTATAAATTGATATCAAAATTGTCATCAGGCTAATTGTAGCAATTGTTTACCATGGTTTTAAGGGGAGTCCACCTAATATTATAGCCAATCTCAGAAAGGAAGCTCAGGCACTTTCTTGGTTTCTTGCAAAGTTTAGAAATTAGCCACATTGTCACTGTAGCCACCAAGTCCAATTTGAAGTTCCCTTTTATTTTAAACAGTCAAGTGGTCTGGGCACAGTGGCATACACCTGTGATTCCAGGTACTAGGGAGGCTGAAGCAAGAGGATAACAAGTTCAAGGCCAGGCTGGGCAACCTAGCGAGATCCTGTCTCAAAATAATTTAAAATTGAGAAAGGGTAAGGGATATAGCTCAGTGGTAGAGTACTTGCCCAGCTTGCAGGAGGCCCTGGGTTCAGTCCCCAGCACCACAGAAAACACAGCAACAAAACAGCTAATTGAGGTCTAACTGACAAACCATGAGTGGCAGATATTTACATTTTAATATATATTTACACTCATGGAACAACCTTCATAAATGAGATAATTAGCATATTCATCATGCAGAAAAGTATCCTCAAAGAATAAAACATTGGAAATCTGTCCTAGGGGTACACTTGTAATTCCAGAGATTAGGGGATTGAGGCAGGAGGATCACAAGGTCCTAAGCAAATAAGTGAGACTCTGTCTCCAAATATAACATAAAAAGTGCTGGAATTGGGCTGGGGTTGTGGCTCAGTGGCAGAGCACTTGCCTCACACATGTGAGGCACTGGATTTGATCCTCAGCACCACATAAAAATAGATAAACAAAATAAAGATATTGTGTCCATGTATAACTAAGATTTGTGCAGAGATGCTAGATTCCCTTTATCCATATTGCATTCAAGGCAACAAAGCAAATTTTGAAAATGTTGATTGGGCACCTGAAATAGAAACTTGCTAAGGATCAGATCTTAGACAAAAACAGAAGAGGTGGCAAGGAACGAATCCCCCAGGGAAAGTCAATGGTGAAGAGAGTGCAACGGGTGTGTTGGGGGCCCAAGGACAGGCTGTGTGTGGCCTCTGCCCTGCAGACACCCTGAGCTCCCACTGCGACTGCCCTGGAGGGACCCAGGCTGGGAAGGACCCGGAGCCTCTCCCTGCTGCTGATGACCCCCTGGCAGCCTCGACCTGTCAGAGTCGGGACCCGTGGTATCTTCTCTCTCATCCTCCCAACAGCCTTGAAACCAGTGGATCTGATTCCACATATCAGTGGCCTTGGAGACCACTCGGGGCATAGTGCTGCACTGGTGATCCCACAGCTGACCCCTGCGCTCCCAACGCACGCCACTGGCCTCTCTGCACTCTGTGGCCAAGGAGCTGGAGGGCCTGGCTTGGGGGCCCCCACACCAGACGACTGGCAGGGATTCGGACAGCTGTAATGGCCCTGCTGGAGCAGGAACCCTGCTCCGGATCCCGTCCTGTCTGCCCCTGGGGACTTGGAGCCTTTGGGCGGCTTGGCAAGGCCGGCAAAGTCACCGGGGCTTGGAGGGCTTGGAGGACAAAACTACATTTGTTCAGTAGGTTAGAGAACATAGAGAAGACTTTGACCTTGAGAAGAAGGTCCTGTGCCAGACTGGTTATGTGTAAAAGATAGTTTTTCCTGTTATAACCATTATTTTGCATGTGCCTTTTATTCCTCGTTCTGCATATACAGTTGACAAAACTAAGTACTTTTTTGAAATATCTAGCCCTAGATGTTCTAAAGTGCTTGATATATGTTAAAAGTAGAAGTGGTAAAATATAATGCATTTTATAAATATCTTTGTTAAAATTCTTAATAAATGTTTTGGGGGGCAATAGCCAAACCCCTGTTGAGTATTACTACATGTGCAATTTTATTTTCAGTGATGTGTGCATAGTGGTCACATTATTTTGTGGAATATCTAATCCTTCTATATATTTAGAAGTGCTTAATATGTTTAAAAGTAAAAGTAGTAGAATAAAACTTGTAGATAGCTTTTAATATATATACATAAATTTGTAGATGGACACACTACCTTTATTTTATTTATTTATCTTTATGTGATGCTGAGGATCAAGCCCAGGGCCTCACACTTGCTAGACAAGCACTCTTCCACTGAGCTACAATCTCAGCCTGGTAAATAGCTTTTAAAAACTGGTAGGAAATACTGTGTTTGGAATTGTTAAACCACCTCTGAATGGTATCTTGTCAGTACTTATTCACTGGGTTGAGGGAGGTGGGAGGGAAGAGGTTACAAAAGGTGTTTTGTTAGCTTGTGCTTGAAAATCCTAGCTTACTATTGCCCTATAACATGCGTTTCATTTAACTTTGCTGTACTGAATACATTGTGTATGTACTGGACAATGGAGTCTTGGTTTTATAATATCTAGTCTCTGGATAGGCAGAGGTTGCCAATGTGTGACAAAAGTAGAGTTAGTAAGCTAACACATTTTGCATACTTTGTGCTAAAATTCATAGAAAGGGAGTCTTCTGAAAAGAACTTTAGGAAGTGAAATTGTAACATTACATCTGAGTGACACTTGTGCCTCTGTCACTTGTGACATAGGAGAGAAGAAATGAAAGAAAGAAAGGTTCTAGGCCAGCATGATCTTATTTAGATGCTTTTAGATATATTGCTATCTGTGTATCGTTTATTCAACAACACTACTGTGTACATTGTAGACAAATTTAAGTCCTCATTTGAAACATCTGGTTTTTCTAGATGTTTAGAAGTGCACAAAGTATGTTAAAAGTAGAGATAGTAAATAAAACATATTGTAGGTTAAAAGAAAAAGAAAAGTAGATTCTAGGGATAGAATTTGGGGAATTCTTTTATTTATAAAGTGCAAGGAAAATAAGAAGCCAATAATTAGGGGTGAGGATTAACCAGAAAGGTAGAAACAAGGGGACAGTGTATTGTCACAGAAGGAAAAAGGGAAGAACATTTCTGGAAGAGGTTGGCCAGCAGAGGGAAGTCAAATGCCATAGAGAGTTACAAGCAAGAAAGGGCTGGGGATGGAGCTCCGTGGTTCAGGGCTTCTCTCGCCTGTGTAAGGCCCTGGGTTTGATCCCAAAAAAAGAAAAGAAAAGAGAAGAGTAAAGTAAACTGGAAAGGAGTTTGGATGGACAGTGTTGGTACTGATAGGGAGAGCTTGTGGAGTTGAGGAACAGAATGCTTGTGTCTGAAAAAGCAAGCAGGCCGGAGCTAGAAGTTTTACATGTAAAATAATATGGCGCATGGTCATATGTTACGTTATGGAAACTTCTCTCTCATCCTCCCAACAGCCTTGAAACCAGTGGATCTGATTCCACATATCAGTGGCCTTGGAGACCACTCGGGGCATAGTGCTGCACTGGCGATCCCACAGCTGGCCCCTGCGCTCCCAACGCACACCAGTGGCCTCTCTGCACTCTGTGGCCAAGGAGCTGGAGGGCCTGGCTTGGGGGCCCCCACACCAGACGACTGGCAGGGATTCGGACAGCTGTAATGGCCCTGCTGGAGCAGGAACCCAGTACCCTTGTGGTCATCAAACTGGCCAACACTGGCTATAAGTCCGTGTATGGCAGCGACTGGTTCACTTTGCAAGTGAACCGGCTCCTGAGAGCTGCCTTTGCTGGGCTCCGTGTGGCCTTTGTGGACGCTTGGGAAATGACCTCCAGCCTGGCCCTGCCCGACAACATCCACCCAGGGAAGCTCATTGTGAGCAATGGAGTGAACTTGCTCCTCTCCTTCATCTGTCCACCTGAGAGCTTCTGAGGGTCCTGGCAGTGTGCTGATGGAGAGCCTGCAGCTCAGCCACAGGAAATGTGAGAAGCAGTGATGGGACCCAGAATGATTCAGAGGAGAGTAGTTACCCCAAGATTGGCCCCACTGGTGACATTTTGGTGACTGTCTTCTCATACAGCTCTCTGTGCAATGCACAAATAAATAAATATTACATGAACGAGATCATATTTCACATGCTCTGTTTCCAGTTCCCTTTTTAGAAATTTTTATTGATTTAATTGCACATTACTCAGTTTTGTAAGGAATAATACAGAGATCCCTTATATCCTGTACTTAGTTTCTACTGTAACCATCTTGTCAAACTGGGGTATAATATCAGAATTGGGATATTTACATTGATATAATCCAACATTCTTATTTAGATTTTCTCAGTATTATTATCCTCAATTTTGTGTGTGTGTGTGTTTGTGTGTGCGTGTTGTTTTATTTTTTATTTTTATTTTTGCAGTGCTGGGGATTGACCTCAGGGCCTCATGCATGCTGGGCAAGTGCTTCACCACTGAGGCTATATCCCTAGGTCCTGTTGCGTTGATTTGTATGCATTTATTTTTATGCAACATTATCACATATACTGGTTTCTGGTTAATTCTTTAACATTTGTTTTGTAGCTTTTTTTGTAGGAAAAGATAACAAAGCCCAAGGTTCATCCACAATAGCAAGTCATATAGGAGAGTCACCAAAAAACTGGGGTCTCAAAGGACTTCATCCTCAGACTGAGGTGATCCAACAAGAAATCCCCAGGACCAAAGAGCACAAAGAAAAGGACCACTGCAAAATTTGGTAAGTGGAAGGGTAGAGGAAGCGTCCTCTAAGAACTGATAGCCATACACTGTCTTCACTCTGGTTTCTAGCCTGACTTGACACTACATGGGTGGCTCAAAAATTCTCTAGGGCTGGGGATATAGCTCAGTTGGTAGAGTGCTTGCCTTTTTTTTAAATTTTTTTTTAAAGAGAGAGAGAGAGAGAATTTTAATATTTATTTTTTAGTTTTTCGGCGGACACAACATCTTTGTTTGTATGTGGTGCTGAGGATCGAACCCGGGCCGCATGCATGCCAGGTGAGCGCGCTACCGCTTGAGCCACATCCCCAGCCCCGAGTGCTTGCCTTATATGCACAAGGTCCTGAGTTCAATCCCCAGCTACACACACACACACACACACACACACACAAATTCTCTAGGTCCAGGTTAATGTAAGTGGGCCTAGCCTCATATACCTCCATGTCACCTGAAAACATCAACTGTGATTTCTGGGGAAACCAACATTTTTCTCAGATCACAGATAATTTTCTGCAGAGAAAATAATAAGGAAAAAGAGCTGCAGACATTCAGAAATCATGAAACACACAAGTAACAACGTAGCAAGAGTGAGAAACAACAGAAAAAAGTTAGAAAAACCCAAATACAAAACTCCCAGATATCAGATCAACTGAAAAAGCATATGAAATTAGTATCAGTAAACATACTGACTTAATCAAAAAGATTTTTTTACCAATATAAATAAAGATGAAAAATATTTTTAATAGAACTCTTAAAATGAAAACTAGAATACTTATAATTAAAAATGAAGTGCATATTTAAAGCCAGGCTGGAGCGAGGCAGAGAAAGAATTAGTGAATTATCTCCTCCCAGTTCTACACTGTGGTTCATCCAGATATCTGCTATCACCTTGTGGTGACACCTCCCTATGCAAACTATTTGATGCAAACTATTTGCATCACCTCACTGACCCCATACCTCCCATTTCCTACAGTGACTACCTCCCAGTCACAGTGTCACTCCCCATCCCCCAAATTTGTGCCTTCTTGCTCCTAAGCCTCCAGTTAGAATTCTCCATGAGAAACTCTCCTGGGTAATGCCCTGGACCGCAAAGAAGGCTTCAGTTCACAGGTCCCTTGCTTTCTGTCTCTTACCTGCTGGGTGTGCCTGCTCATCCCTGATGGCTCCCTCCTTTTCCCAATGGCCTATGAGGTGTGCTTGCCTCTTGTCTCCAGGATCTGGGAGTAATGCTGCTTCTGTTACAACACATCTTTTATTGAGTTGCCTCCTGTGTCTCACCTGACTGACGCATCCAAATCTAACCTCTTCACCAGTGTGGGTTCTCTTGGAGAGTGGCTGTCTTGACAGGAATAGATTGGACTCAGGTCAGACAAGAGCCTCATGGACATCTGTCAGGATAAAGAAGTTTTCTGTTGGAGAGGTACCTGCTCACATGTTGGACAGTTGGGCATTAGGCCATCGGCTAGGATGAAGTATCCATTGACAGGAACACCATAAAGGCTCACTACTACCAAATGCCCCAGAGCTCCATCAGGGCCAGGTTAGAGTCTATAGCAACTGTCCAGGGAGGGACCTCAAGACCAACATGAAGGACTGAACTTAGCACCTCACTTAACCTTCATTTACCATAAAGATGCTATCTACAGACAGTCACATTGGGGGTGACATAGGAATATGGGGGACACCAGTCAGTTCATAAGAAAAGATAAAGTGAAAACATTTCAGACAAACAGGAGCTGATAGAGGCTTTACCGGTGGGTCTTCATTACAGAAGAATTCTGAAGAAGGGACTTCTGTGGGAAGGGGAGTGGTTCTTCCAGGGAGAACTCAGGGTCAGTAATCTTAAATTTGGTGGTTGAAATTCATAATACTACTTTTAAAGAACCATATAAAATAATCATAAAATTTCTAAGGCTAGGGAAAATAAGTTAAATTCTACTAAGTTAAATAAGTTAAATTCATTCTACAGTCTACTCTGAAACCCACCCCAAAGCCTTGTTCTCATACCCTCAACATTTAGTTTTCTTTTCAACATTTCATTTTTTGAGCCATTTGAGAGAAAATTACATATATCATTCCTCTTCTCCCCTAAGTACTTCAGAGCGACTCTCCCCAAAACAAGTATATTTTCTTCAATAGCCAGAGTATAATGATCAAATTCAGGAAACTTAATATGGATATATCATATCTAGTCTATATTAAATTTAATAAGTTATCCCAATAATGTTCCCCATAGATATTATTTTTCCTGGATCAGGATCCAAACCCAGACAGCATTTAGTTTTGTTTTTCTTTTTTTCTTTATGTCATATGATAAATAAGATGTTCTTTCTTTTTTTTAATCATACTTTTAAGTTTAAAAATTTTATTTGTTCTTTTTAGTTATACATGACAGTAGAATGTATTTTGATATATTATTCAGTGGTCTACAATACATTATAATCATCGTTTGGACTGTCAAGTTCCTTCAAATATGACCAACAGGAAACTCTAAAAAATAAATATTAAAAAAAATTCTCTCTCTCTCTCAAAAAAAAAAGATTATGAGATTATGGAAAAAAATTGTCTCCTCAATATTATCCTCTGGCTTTCACTTCTCAATTTGCTATCATTTCCTTCAATCAAACCCATTCTCACCAAGGAAACTAAAAGAACTATATGGTCTCTCAATGGTTGTGGTCACAGAGTCAGACCCTTGGAACAGAAACACATTTTTGATTCAGCGTCAAAATCTCTTCTGCTGTTGAGGAGGACAGCAGCACAGGTGTTGGGTGCATTCTGAGTGTGACACATTCTGAGTGTGGTTTAAGGGTTTAGTACCTGACAACTTAGCATTTTTCCAATCTCCCAACACTTACATGGGCTGTCAAGAATCCTTTTATTAACAGTCCATTTCCACAATCAGCCAGGATTGGCCTCTGTTTCTTGAGAACAAGAAGTCTGGTTAATCAGGGTATGGGATTATGCTGCCAGGGTTAGTGGTGATTACAATTTCCTATGGAAAGTGTGATAATAGAGGTGAAATATGCAAGTACACAGAAAAGTCATCCTTCCGGGCCCAGGAAGAATTCCACAAAGAAGAGGCACCTGAGCTGAGATCTGAAAGAGGATTTTGGATCAGTCAGGCACAGAGCATCAGGAGAACATTCTAGGTTGGGGAACAGAGATGCCCAGGGATGATATAAATCACATGGAAATTTGTTTGTTTAGTTTTTAGTTGAAGATTAAGTGAGACAAAAGGAGACAGCAGAATTAAGCAAGAGTTCCTAGAATTTTATCTATCATGTTCAGGGTTGTGACTTGCATTTGCTAAAAATGACCCTGGGTACAGCTGAAGATTCATTTCTTCCAAAGAGTTTCCACCTGGAGTTCAGGCTTTATTTTCTCAAACTATTTGTACATTTGGAAAGAACATTTTCTGAAAGATGACTTAAGGAAGGTGTAGATTTTTCTAGTATGTCCAGACTAGTTTCCTGGTCTAGGAGCAGGGCTAGAGCAATATATGCCCCAGGGAAAGGCAGGTGCCTGTCACCACTTGGGGGTGGCTTCTGGTGAGAGTTTACTTTGTATTCAGCTCCCAGACTTGCTTGACTACTCAGAGGAACAGCTAGCTGACCATAGCCCATCATGGAATCTACTGACCAGGAAAGATATGGGCATGCTGAACTTCCACCTTGTAGACCACTGAGCATGACTCCCTCCCTCACCCCTTGTACCCATAACCTGATTCAACCAAACTCCATTCCCCTCAGAGACCCTGTTATCTTTTTAATTTTAAACTTATTTATTCTAATTTATTATACATGAGAGCAGAATGCATTTCAATGCATAGTACACATATAGAGCATGATTTTTTTCATGTCTCTGGTTGTACACAAAGTAGAGACACACCATTCGTGTGTTCATACATGTACTTAGGGTAATGATGTCCATCTCTTTCTACCATCTTTCCTATTCCCATGCCCCCTCCCTTTTCCTCTCTCCCCTTTGCCCTATCCAAAGTTCCTTCATTCCTCCCATGCTCCCCCTGCCCCCATTATGGATCAGCATCCACATATCAGAGAAAACATTAGCCTTTGGTTTTTGGGGGATTGGTTTACTTCACTTAGCATCTTTTTCTACAACTCCATCCATTTACCTGCAAATGCCATGATTTTATACTCTTTTAATGCTGAGTAATAATCCATTGTGTATATGTACCACAGTTTCTTTATCCATTCATCTGTTGAAGAGCATCTAGTTGGTTCCACAATTTAGCCATTGTGAATTGTGCTGCTATAAACATTGATGTGGCTATGTCCCTGTAGTATGCTGTTTTGAAGTCCTTTGGGTATAAACGGAGGAGTGGGATAACTGGGTCAAATTATGGTTCCATTCCAAGTTGTCCAAGGAATCTCCATATTGCTTTCCATATTGGTTGCACCAACTTGCAGTTTCACCAGCAATGTGTGAGTGTGCCTTTTTCCCCACATCCTTGCCAACATTTATTTTGTTTGTGTTCTTAATAGCTGTCATTCTGACTGGAGTGAGATGAAATTTTAGAGTAGTTTTGATTTGCATTTCTCAAATTGCTAGAGATGTTGAACATTTTTTTCACATATTTGTTGATTGATTGTATATCACCTTCTGAGAACTGAAAAGCTTCTTCTCAGCAAAAGAAACAATCAGTGAGGTGAAGAGAGAGACTACAGAATGGGAGCAAATTTTTACCACATGCACATCAGATAGAGCACTAATCTCTAGGATATATAAAGAACTCAAAAAACTTAACTCCAAAATAACAAATAACCAAATCAATAAATGGGCCAAGGAACTGAACAGACACTTATCAGAGACCCTGTTATCTTGAGTGTCCTTAAAACAACTGCACTGGCTGGGTGCAATGGTGCATGCCTGTAATCCCAGCAGCTCAGGAGGCAGAGGCAAGAGGATTGTGAGTTCAAAACCAGCTTCAGCAATTTAGCAAGGCTCTAAGCAACTCAGTGAAACCCTGTCTCTAATAAAATTCAAAATAGGTCTAGGGATGTGGCTCAGTAGTTGAGTGCCCCTGAGTTCAATCCCTGGTACCCCCCCCCTCAAAAAAGAAAACTGTACTAGCTGGGCATAGTGGTGCACACCTGTAATCCCAGCAGCTCGGGAGGCTGAGGCAGGAGGATTGTGAGTTTAAAGCCAGCCTCAGCAACTTAATGAGGTCCTAGAGACCCTGACTTTAAATAAAATTTAAAAATAGGACTGGGAATGTGGCTCAGTGGTTAAGTGTGCCTGAGTTCAGTCCCTTATACCATCCCCCCCAAAAAAAAACCCAAAAGGACTCCCTTCCTGTGTCTTCTACAGCACAGTAACCTGGGAGTTTCTCTTCAGACAAATTTATATCTTACTTTACAGGGAAAATTTTTAAAAATCTATATCCTCCAGAGTTAACCTTGCTGTTGCAAAGCTTAAGACTAAATGTAGGGGCTAGGGTTGTGGCTCAATGGTAGAATGCTTGCCTGGCACATGTGAGGTACTGGGTTCAATATCAGCATCCCATAAAAATAAAAACAAATAAAATGAAGGCATTGTGTCCATCTACAAGTTAAAAAAAATAAATGTATTTGCTCACATCAAACAATTCTTTTTGTTTTGTACTGGGAATTGAACTCTGATCTTCAACATGTGCTAGGCCAGTGCTCTATCATATTACATTCCCAGCCTAACATGGAGCAACTTTTAAGCTATTAGTTTAATTACTGGTAAATTGACATGTGCTATGCTGGTAATTAAGCAATCATTTCTCAGTCTCCAACCTCCAATCTAACTTTTCTTTTTTTTTTTTTTTTTTTTTTTGGTGGTACTGGTGATTAAACCCAGGGTCTTGCACCTGCCAGGCAAGTGCTCTACCACTGAGCCACATCCTCCACACTTTTTAATTTTGTATTTCGAGAGAAGTTCTCACTAAATTGCTTAGGCTGACCTTGAACTTGGAACCTTACTGGCTTTGCCTGCTATAGTAGCTGGGATTATATGTACTCACCATTATTATGCCTAGTCTAACCTATCTTTCTATTCTAGGCTTTGTGAGTCTGTGGCTGGGATTCTGCAAACATTTCTGCCCCACCTACTAGTTAGTGGCTTTTGGGATCTTCCAGTAGCTTGGAGCGTTGGAGGGAAAAGAGGACTTGTTCTTGTCTGCTTCCTAGGGGATTCTTCCC